AGAAGAGCCGTAAATCCCTCATTGCAAATCACAAACAACAGAGGTAACAGCGGATCTCCCTGACGCAGTCCCCTGGAAGGCTTAAAGTACCCCGAGGGGGATCCATTCATAAGCACAGAAAAAGAAGAGGACCGGAGGCACTCAAGAATCCATCCCTGCCAGACAGAGTTAAAACCCATCTTATTCATAACTGCGAGGAGAAAGGGCCATTCGACTCTATCATAGGCCTTTTCCATGTCAACCTATAGAGCCATGTACCCTTTCTTGCCTCGAGCTTTGATTTTCAAATAATGCATTAACTCATGTCCAAGGAGAATGTTATCAATTATCTGACGTTCGCGGATAAAATCATTTTGGCCCTTAGAGATAATTTGAGGAAGGATGCTCGCCAGTCTATCAGCCATAATATTCGTTATAATTTTGTAAACAAATTGGCACAAACTGATTGGACGTAATTGCCGTATGGTCTCCACGTTGTCCACCTTAGGAATCAAAGTGAGCCAAGTATGATTAAAGCTCTTAAGCATCCGACTTGTCTCAAAGAAGGAACAGACTTCTGCTATCACAGACTCCCCTACTACATCCCAGAAAGCCTTAAAGAATTTGCCCGTAAACCCATCAGAGCCCGGGGCTTGCTTTGAACTCATGGAAAACACAGTTTTCCGGACTTCACTGGGAAGGACTTCAGCCGTCAAGGCACCATTCATCTCAGGGGTAACACTCTGAGGAACAGGGAGATTATCTACCCGCTCAGTCATATTCGGGACATTCGTCTCGGAAGTAAAGAGCGATTGGTAAAAATTTGTGGCAATCTCTGTTTTCCCTGGTTCCTCAGTGACCCAATCCCCATTGTCACTACGAAGCCCAGCAACGAAATTACGCTTACCCCTAGCACGAGTAACTATATGGATATAGGAGGAGTTTTGGTCCCCCTTCTTCAGCCACCGGACCCTGGACTTTTGCTGCCAGTAGATCTCCTCCACCTCTCATTGACGATTAAGCTCAAACTCAAGATTTCTTACTTCATCTCAATCGACTAGATGGATCAATTTTATCCGCTCAATCTCGGCCTGAAGGGTTTTAATATTCTGCAAGGAATTTGTAGTTCCCGCCCTACTCCAATCATAGAGGAAATGCCGAAGTCGTTTGAGGCGTTCCCAAAGGCGGAACATAGGGGTTCCTTGTATTTCCTCCTTCCAGACATAATTAACCATAGCCCTAACCTCAGGATTATCAGCCCAACGGGCATCCAATCGAAAGAGGGGGCGGCTGTTGCGGGTGTAAGTCTTGTCCGAGAGAAGGAGGGCTCGATGGTCAGAACCCTGATCCATGAAATGCTTTACCAAGGTGTCGGGGAAGCGATCAATCCAAGGGTGGGAGCAAAGAGATCGATCCAGACGCTCACGGATACAAGCGGCCCACATTCGTCTATTAGTCCAGGTGAATTGATCCCCCTGGTAGCCCGGATCATGGAGTCCCAGGTCCTGAACAAGTCGCGAAGGCTCAGGGATTGAGTAGCACTCCAAGGCAGGGGCCATCCTTCTCACCCACATGCAGAGTAGTATTAAAGTCCCCAATGACAACATAAGGATGGCTAATGCTATCACAAATTTCTCGTAATTGCTCCAACTAAGTGGCACGTACAGCAAGATTGCAACTGATGTAAACGAAAACCACCACATATGAGAAATCAAATTCATTAACTTGAGTGCAAATACAAAAGTCTGAATGGTAAAACACCAAAGCATCAACCTCGGAGGCCCAAGCAACAACTAAACCACCAGATGCCTCAATCGCATCAACAAAAAAGCAACAAGAAAGATCAAAACCTAACCCCTGCATGCGCCGGGTTACTACTCGTCGGCTCGATCGAGTCTCCGAAAAGAACACGAGATCCGGTATTGGAAGGAACTAAACCTACAGCAGTTTGGAATGTGAGGGATGGCCCAATTCCTCTCACATTCCAAGCTAGAAGCCTCATTTATCCGACTGGGGCCATTCGAGGCTGGCTTCCTCCACCTTCTCAAATTCATCAGTCTCTTCCACAAATTGATTCCTTGGAGTGGGTGAAGCAGCAGTAGCACCATCAATAGTATCCAACGAGCGTTTAACTCCCTCGAAGGTAGTACTACTCATGTTGGATCCATAGACGTTAAGACCCAACTGTCCATCCTCATCGCCACCCAATGCTTGCTGCTTGTTCACTTCCAGGGATGGTGCCCTGCGCACCCACTTCTTGGTCGGGGATCCATTCATGACCAACCCGCTCTCGAAGGCCTGGACCACCTTTTGCACTCGACCAGCTTGATTCTCCTCAGGAGGAGGGTGGCCGCCATGCACCCGACGTTTAATTTCAAAGGAGAGATGGTCCTCTTCGGAAAGCGTCTCATCCAAATCAACTGGCCCCGGTATGGAAACATCGGTGATTGGGCCGAGCGGGTCATCCCCCCTCTGCGGAGAGGCAACCAAATTAGCCTCCACATTAACACCCTCCTCACCCTGCACCCTCGGAGTAAGGGCGACGCCTTTGGTCAAGCTACGGCCCCACCGAGGGCGAGCTGCAACAACAGGCAGGGAATGACAAGGGGCCTTCTCCAGCGTCCGAGCCACCAACCTGTCTCCGCGCAAAACCCAGCTCCCCTGCGCCTTGGGATTTTTCCCATTCAGGTTAGCAGTTCGAGAACCCGGATTAGCTAGGGTCTTATTAGTCTTCGAGGGAACCACCTGTATCACAAACTCGTCCTCGGATTCTTCCTCAAGGATGAGACGCCGACGTCGGGACTGGTCCATGCTTTGGCTACGGATCAGTGGAGCAGGGGTGGGGGAGGCCCGCCGAGGAGCACTCGGCCGCTCTTTCGGTCTGTCAACGCGAGCATCCGCCAGAGCCTCTTGCTTACCACCCACGGCCCGGCTCCTTCCACTATTCTCCTTCCCCAGTTGGTGGCGCCCAGTCTGCCGAGGGGCATGGTTTGTCGACAGCTGATTTCTGCGGCCCTTGGTTCGGAGATGAATTTTTGGACCTTTAGCAACTGGGACTCGGAAAGGACTACGTCCCTGTCGCACCGGAGGTTCGGTTTCCATGAACGGATTAGTGGAAGAGCCCATCCAGAGCAGGCTGTTATCAACCAAAGGTTTCTTGTCTGATTCCACCTCTCGTCGTCCTTCAACCACACGGTCACGAGTAGGGTACTGGGTACTCCCCATATTTTTCTGAACCTCTTGATTAACCCAAACCGATCTCACCGGATACTGAGGGAGCTGCTCCTCATCATCAAAAAGTTGTCGACCGTTCTTTTTAGTCGACATTTGTGGCCCAAACCGTTCTTTGCCGGAGGGCGGGGGGAACGTGCACGCTTGACGAGAGTAACCCACCCGCCCACAATGATAGCAAAAGCTCGGTAAGTGCTCATATTTCAGCCGAATCAAAAAGCTCCCCATCTCCTCATTAGCCGCCATAATCTGGGATCTAAGAGGTTTGGAAAAATCCAACAAGACCTTCACCTTGATAAAACGCTGATCAGAGTCCGAGCATGAGAATAAACTAGCTTCCAGGACTCTGCCGAGCATGGCTGCCGCTACCTTGCGGCCAAATTGCTGGGTACAGCACTCCGTTTGAATGTCCCAAAGCTGCACACGGAAGAATACTAGAGTGAGCTCATCAAAGGTTCAACGACTCACTGCCGGAATCCAGGGACGGAGGTGAAGAATTTTTTCCCCTAGAATCCATGGAGATTGCTTAAGGATCCAATCCTTTTTCGCCTTAGTTGGAAGTACGAACTCGAAGAGTCCGTGAGCAGCCGCTCTCACCCGAATCCGGCCACGTCCCTGCAATGGATTGTTCACCAGGTCGCGCACCTCAAGAGGAGAGAAGAGTTGATCAGTGAAAAGGCGGCCGAGCAAGGAGCAATCCTGGCGCACTTTCTCCGACTGAACATCCTCCATTGAGAACTCCACAATCTGGTCTTTTGCGATCCGAGACATAGTGACGAGCTGCAAAGAAGGCAGGCTACGTAAATCAATCGAAGAAGAGAAGCAGAAGGGGAGACCCAGACCGGACCAAGGGAATCGAGCCAAAGAACAGGAAACTTTGTAGAATAAAATGGAATTATCCCAAAGAAGATGAGCACGAGACCACAGTCAGTTTCCCACATACTAACGTAAGGATCTTGAGCTCGAGGATGGGCGCCCCTTCTTTTTGCCTCTAGCCGCGGATGATCAATGCGAATGATCTCTGAGTTACCACAACTAGGGCTAGGTTTTATAAGGCTATCGCAGCGCAAGGAGCCCTTAGCGAGCAAGAGACCTAATGGGTTTGGGGCTCTAAAGCGTGGAGTCTGTTTCTCCACCTGCAAGACTGAATCTTTTGTGATCTTGGTTCGGTTATGAGACCGGTACGAGGAGATCTCGATCCTGATGCGCAAAATCGAAGCTAACCCCCCGTAACAACCTTGCCGTTGGCTTCCGTCAAATCGGGCAGGTGGGCTTAGCGCCCTCGGAGGTTGCCAGAAAGCCACCGCCGGCCAGAGACAGGACGTAAATTCAGGTGGTCCATCACCATATCTCTTACTGTTACAGCTCGCCCCACCTCGGGGTCTAAACTTTAACGACATGGGTGAGCCAACCGCAGCCATAGCCATAGTGTACTGCTTACAAATCAAAGATCGGGAGTAGAGTTCCGTTTTTTCGCCCCTATCCATCTTGCACACTGATGGCAGGAGTACTCGCCATATAGGTTTATTGAGATAACTCCAAGATAATATTGGCGGTGGCCGAAGAACAACCACTGGCAAGGAAGGGGATGCGTTGCCTGGCTTGTCAATCCCACCAGTTTTAATGATCACACTCGCTCCAGCACGGGGTCTAAGCTCAATCGGCCCGGGCGACCCAGGAACAATCATATCCCATTTACGCGATTTACGTGAATTGCATGGTACTGTTTGGGTGAGGGGTATCTCTCCCTCACCTCTTTCCAATTCATCTACCGAAGGCAGGTGAAATTTTCACAAGACAACTTTTGGGCGACATCGTCGCTTAAAGACGGGGACGACTGAGTCATGATCAGCGGTAGCTCGTCGTCTTTTTTTGCAGGTCACCGCTACACGGGCAGCTGTTGGATCAGGGACCTCGGCAAGAAGAAGAGGCCGCCCTACGGTTTTGTCTTCAATCACACCAGATGCGCTTTGCGCAGCCAGGGAGCCACTCGCCTTGCTTTGATTAGCAATGGATACTTCCAGCACCACCGTGAAGGCAGCGTAGAGAAAGCAGCCGACGATGCAGCAGAATTCCAGGAGAGAGGAGAGAGCTCCTCTCATACTTTTTTTTTCCCTACGATTAGTAACTCTAGTTTTAACATTCATGAATCTCGCATATTATACTCTCCTAAAATAGGTTATCATATGATAAACTCTAGGACAAGTCTATAATGGATTGGATTTGAGACTCTAATCCATCACCAAATTCACGAAGCAAACGGTTCCTAATGCTAAAGTGGTTTGTCATTTGTATTCTGTTTAACATTATTATGAATTTTTTTCTGGACTCTTTGTAGCATACATCAATCTAATTAACGTAGGACATAACTAACGTTTCTCGATTTATCCGATAATAATATAATATAACAGATAAACATGCATGGTTCCAAGTCCGATTTTGATGCATATACATGTGGCGGACCTATAACTATAATTCCTGAGTTGACGGCAATCACTTTTAGAAAAGCAATGGTTTCCAGTTCTTCGTCTTGAGATTCATTTCCTTAATATCAACCTGGTATTTTTGCTTTTTTTTATTGCACTAGCTAACGCGCAACATATGGTTCGTAAAAAATAGGTTTAATACACTTGTATATCCAAAACTTTCACTGTTGTGTCAATAATATCCAAATTTCTCGAAATACCACTTATATTCATGTTTTAAAGTTGTTCTTTGCCAAATCTATTCATTTCCCAATATATTTTTGGTTAAATACACTTGTATATCAAAAACACCGTTAAAGAATGTGAAGGAATTGAATATAAGTGGTATTTCGGGAAATTTGGATATTATTGACACAACCGTAAAAATTTTAGATATACAAGTACATTTAACCTAAAAAAATATTGCAGATAGAGACCAAACATGGTGCATCTTTGATTTATTTCGAGTAGCAGTAATGAATGATTCTCTCTCTCTTCCAAAAGAATATTATTCCTCCCACCCAAAAAAAAAAGAGAATATTATTCCTTCTAATCTGGTACTGTAACTAACTGTAGAAACTTACAGAATAGGATCAGAAACTTTATTTATTAATCCTAATTAGAGAAGAATCCATATGCCTACCCATCTCCGTTTTGAACAATGGTGCAGAAACTAAAGCTCCTACATCCGTAACAAATAACTACGTACGTACGTAGCTTGATTGATACCACTGCCAAATGCCAGATAACTAAACAGAGGATGACTAGCCGGCTAGATAAGTGGGGTTTGTAAAATAGTATCGTATTGGCGGTCAAGTTTGAAAAAATTATTATTGGGATCTAAATCAATAGTCCGTCTTAATAGTAATATGAAACAATTGAATCACGATTAAATTACAATTTCAACAAAAAATACTCTATTGCTAACTTTTCTAGTACAACCTTCAATACGATTTTATATTGCTTTGGTCAAAGTTTAGAGACAAACGGGTCTATGGATCCATACATCCATCGTCACCACATAAACTCGAACCTCATCTTGAGTTAACGAACTTGGCTAGCTAGTTAGCTAAGATCGAACGGGGATTATAATTAAATTAAATTAAATTCTGGACCCTTATTGCGACAGAAATGTATGAGAAATAATTGTAATTAACCAGAAATTTAAAGTGGTTGTAATGGCAGAGTTAGAAATCTTAATGAAATAGGTTGAAAATTTTAAATTCAAGAAAATTTGAATTATGATCATTGGAGATGGGCTAACCTTTATCCACTTCTCGACCTTCTAAATTCATTACACATTTTACATGTAATATTTTATGTATCTCAAGGTCTAATTGTTGTCATTTTAAGCAATTCAACTTTTGATTTACTCATTATAAGCTGCTTTTTCCCGCCTATAAATACTGGCGCACATGAGGGCGCTCCGGTATATCTCAACCAAACGCACGACCTCGATCCTTCCCTCCCTTCACATAATATTGTTGTCTTTTCACTTCCACTTCATGGACAACGTGGCTCTAAACTTCCACGGGCTCGGCAGATCAACTCGGCCGGTGACTCTGTCGGAGGACCAGCTCCATCAGATCTTCATGCAGTTCGACGCCAACTGTGACAAGCGGCTTTGCAAGGAAGAGCTCAAGAGAGCCTTCAGCCAACTGGGCGCCATCATCCCAGGTTACAGGGCCCGCCGCTGTTAACAATCACAGAAGCAGACAAATACGATTCGGAAAAGTAAACAGATACGAACACCGGAGTTTACGTGGTATCCCTGGACGTGATCCAGGACTAATCCACGGAAGAGATGGAATACTCTTCAGGCTACTGATTTTACTATGATGAGAAGATGATACATGTTACAGCCGGCTGAACTTCTCCTAACCCTTATATATCAATGCCCTAGGTTTAGGATCAACAATGTACGTCCAAAACCTTGCATGGGCATGGGCCTAATTAATGAACGGGCTTAAACACTAATCACTCTAACACCACAATATAATCCGCAGCCCCTAGGCCCCTAGTTCGCTAACATCCTCCCCCAAATTGATGCCGATCTCTTAGCATCAATTTGTTACCCAGATACCAGTGACGACTAGTAGAGAATGCCTTGGTGAATAGGTCTGCGACTTGTTCTTCTGTAGGAAGGTGATGTAGACTAATCGTGCCATCTCGAATGAGATCTCGAACATAATGCACATGTATCTCGATGTGCTTGGTTCGGTCGTGAAGAACTGGATTAGCAGCAATGCGAATGGCACTGGTGTTTTCAACATAAAGAGTCATAGGTGCAGGACAGGCAACACCAAAATCGGATAGGAGCCTTCGTATCCATGCCATCTCAGAGCCAACTTCGGACATAGCGCGATATTCTGCTTCTGTAGAAGATTTTGAAACTTTATCTTGTTTCTTGCATCTCCAGGAAATGAAAGCACCGCCAAATTTAATACACCACCCAGAAGTGGAGCGACGAGTATCAATACACCCTGCATAGTCAGAATCAGAATAAGCAGTAATTTCAGCCGAACCAGTCGAAGGAAATAAAATCTCGACATCCTGAGTTCCTTGCAAATAGCGCAGGATCCTGTGAACCGCAGCAAGATGATCTACACAAGGAGCAGTCATGAATTGACTGACGATCTGAACTGCATATGAAATGTCAGGGCGAGTAGCTGATAGCTAGATTAGACTTCCCACGATATTGCGATACTGAGATCCATCCTTCAGCCGTTCACCGGAATCTTTCTGCAACTTTAAATTAAGCTCCATAGGAGTCTTGACTGAGTGGCAGTTGTCGAAATTGAGTTCACCCAATAGATCTGAAATATACTTTTTCTGGCTGAGCAAGATCCCTTGATCATTCCGGCTAACTTCCAGACCCAGAAAATAAGAAAGATTCCCGAGATCCTTGATGCTAAATGCTTCTTTCAAACCATCTTTAAGCTGATCAATCCTTGTCGGATGAGACCCTGTGATCACCATGTCATCAACATAGAGTAAAAGAACGACTATGCCAGTAGGAGATACCTTGGTGAATAGAGAAGGATCATTGAGACTCTGCTGAAAAACCCAGATCGATAATCATAGACTGAAATTTCTCAAACCAAGCTCGAGGAGCCTGTTTGAGACCATAGAGAGACCTATGCAGTAAACAGACCCGATCTTCTCGTCCAATAGTGTAACCGGGTGGCCATTCCATATAAATCACTTCTTCTAAATCCCCGTGAAGAAAAGCATTCTTCACGTCGAGTTGATAAAGTGGCCAGTTAGAGAGGGCTGCCACTGCAAGTAAAGTTCAAACAGTAGGCATCTTCGCAACGGGAGCAAATGTCTCGTTGTAATCTACACCATGTTCCTGAGTATAGCCAAGTGCAACAAGCCTGGATTTGTTGCGTTCAATAGTTCCATCGGGTAAAACCTTGATACCATAGACCCATCGACAGCCAATGGTGGGAGGACAAGGAACAGGCCGATCAACTACTGTCCATGTCTGGTTAGCTTCGAGAGCACTAAACTCCTTCTGCATAGCATTATCCCAAATCGGATTATCACGAGCCTGTTTAAAAGTAGTAGGGACAATAAGAGTGTCAACTCCAAGGGCAAAGTAATCATCAAAATGAGCAGGGGGAATTCCTTTTGTTGAACGTGTTGATCGCCAAAGAGGATGTTGTGCGGTGGGAGGTGAGGCTGCCGTGGAAGATGCAGATGCACTGCTCGACGAGGAAGACGGAGAGCTGGAAGGGCTGCTGGTCGCCGAAGTATGAGTGCTGGGAGAGCTGTCGGCAGCGGAGGACAGAATCGGGGAAGGAGGAGTGACATCAGGATCATAGGATGTCTCACAAGTATCATCCAGTTCATTATCAAACAAGGGCAGCCCATTTTTTCCACCGGGAAACTCGAGACCCGAAATAATTTTAGAAGGATAGTACCTAAGATGCTCAAAGAAGACAACAGAGGCAGCTATTCTCATATGCTGGCTAGAAGGATCGAAGCAAAGATAACCTTTATGGACGCTACTATACCCAAGGAACACACAACAAGCAGTTTTAGATGTTAGTTTTGTTCGCTCTAGCTAGGCAGCAGAACAAAACACAAACAACCAAAAACTCTAAGATGAGAGTAGTTAGGATGATGACCATATAGAGAATAATAAGGAATCGTCTGAGCTAGGACCGGAGTAATTTGATAGTTGATAAGTTTCACAGTAGTAACGACGGCCTTAGGCCTGAAACGACTAGGTACAGAAGAATCAAGAAGCAAGGCTCGAGTGAGTTCCATAACATGTCTATTTTTCCGTTCCACTAGACCGTTTTGCTGAGATATACCAGGACAAGACATTTGACTAATAATGCCACGAGAACGATAGACGTCATGCAAAGGAATGGAGCTAAACTCTCCTCCAGGATCTGAACGGATGATTTTGACAGTTTTGTTGAATTGAGTTTGAATCATATTAAGAAATTCAATGGCAACAGATCGGAGTTCAGATTTGAGACGAAGAAAGTATATCCAAGTGTATCTGGTGGCATGGTCTATAAAAAGAGCAAAATATCGGAAACCAAGACGAGAGACAGTAGGGGCAGGTCCCCACAAATCAGTATGAATAAGATGGAAAGGCTCTTTTATAACAGTCGTGCTAGAAGGAAATGAAATAGTAGATGTTTTTGCTTCAACACAACTGGTACAAGAGTGTTCTGCAGGAATCCCAACAACATTCTTGCCTAAAAGAGACTGCTTAAACATGACTGAAAGACGACTTGAGTGTGGATGCCCCAGAAGGGCATGCCAAAGTTCCCACACCTTACTTGATAAACAAGAAAATGCCGACGCACTATTAAAGGAAGTTTCAAAAGACTGAGAAGGACTACTGACAGACCTAGACACCAACTGAGATTTAGACTGCTGACACGAAGGAAACACTTAACTGGTACTATCTTGAAGCTCTTCCAAGTGAAATATCCTCTCCTGTTTACTCCCCCTTCCGATCTGCCTCCCCGTCTTCAGGTCCTGTATCACAAATCCAGAAGGAGCAAACATAACAGAAGATCCCTGCTCATTAAGTTGACCAACTGAAACCAAGTTCGGAACTAAAGCCGGAACATGTAAGGTACGTGACAAGGATATATTTGGAGTAGTGACTTTACCAATTCCAGCAACTTCCATTCTATCACCATTAGCAACCGTCAAACCCTCATGATTAATAGATTTAATATTCTTGAGAGAGTTCTTATCATTAGTCATGTGGTTATAACACCCTGAGTCAATCAACCAAGGTTTGGTTTTGAGTTTACCTTGCATATTAGTCAATGCCGAGCCTATTGCAGTTGGAAGAGAATTTTGTAGTGCGGCTACTGCTTGTACAAGTTGCTCAAGTTGAGCAGCAGTGACCCCTCCTGATGCTGACCCACTTGATTCTCCAATTTCGGCTGCATAAGCTGGACGATAAGCACGACCAGGAGGACCTCGGGCTGGGTTACCTCGTCCACCACCAGCCTGCTGAGGATTCCCCGCAAATCTCTCGGCATTGCGCTCCCTAGTACGGCATTCCAATATAATATGCCACATTCTTTTGCAGTAGACACAATAGTTTCTTCTGCGACAATGTTTTACTAAATGTCATTTTTTCGTGGCAATGATGACATTCCAACTCGGCATTGGGAACACGATTTTAGAACTACGGACGTGTAACAGCAAGCACTTGAGTATTCGAACCCATACCTGACCTCGTAGAGTGAGCAGAAGCAACAGTAAATGTCTCTCCTTCTCCGGGACGAACATCAAATAGAGCTTGTGTTCGGATTCTAGTCTCTTCGGGAACAAGGGTGCTAATTACTCCATCAAAGGTAATCCTCTCCCGATTCAGAATGGTAGCTCTTACACTCTCAAATTCAGGTCTCAATCTCATGAGAAATTGCATCACACGAGATTGTTGACGTTCAGCCAGCATATCGTCAGGCACGAATTGGGGACAGAGAGCTAAATGAAGCATATCCTGCTCCGTCCACAACTCTTGAGCTGCATTAAAATACTCGGTGATTGTGCTATCTCCCTGCGTCAGACGAGCAAGGGCAGTCTCTACCTCAAATTGCCGAGCAGCACTTGTTGTGGAATACAACCCGGCCAGATGGTGCCACATTCGGTTGGCAGTAGGGAACAAACGGAGGCTAAGGCAAGTGGAAGGATCGACGGATCCCAGCAGCCAGGAGCGGATTCGTGCGTCGCTTTGGGCCCAAGTCGAGACCTCTTGTGGCGTAGCTGACGCAGCGACAGGTTGAGGGATCGTGCCATCTAGGATTCCCAGCAATCCTCTTCCTTCCACAAAGACTCGAAACTGGAACTCCCAAAGCGAGTAGTTCGTCGAAGTGAGGCGCACGGTTGGCCTCTCAGAATCAGTCACGGTGGGCTCTGATACCATGTTAACAATCACAGAAGCAGACAAATACGATTCGGAAAAGTAAACTGATACGAACACCGGAGTTTACGTGGTATCCCTAGACGTGATCCAGGACTAATCCACGGAAGATCTGGAATGCTCTTCAGGCTACTGATTTTACTATGATGAGAAGATGATACATGTTACAGCCGGCTGAACTTCTCCTAACCCTTATATATCAATGCCCTAGGTTTAGGATCAACAATGTACGTCCGAAACCTTGCATGGGCATGGGCCTAATTAATGAATGAGCTTAAACACTAATCACTC